TTATTTTTGCTTTACTCCCTGCTTTGGGGTCAAGTCATAAATGTTGTCTATGACCAAGGTCCACAAGATTGGTACCTATATTGTATTTTATGTAACTTACTGGTTCAGGTCTGTATTTAGGTCTTTGATCCATTTTAAATTAATTTTTGTACATGGGGATAAACTGCAATCCAGTTTCATTCATTTGCATGTGACTTTCCAATTTTACCAGCACCATTTATGAAGAGACTATGTTTACTCCATTGTATGTTTCTGGCTCCTTGTCAAAAATTACCTGTCCATATACATGTGGTTTTATAACTGGGCTCTCTATTCTGTTCCATTGATCTGTGTGTCTGTTTCTCTGCCAGTATCATGTTATTTTGATTATAACTCTGTAGTATAATTTGAAGTCAAGTTGCTTGATACTTCCAGCTTGGTTCTTTTTTCTCAGGATTGCTTTCCATACAAATCTGATGATTTCTTGTTCTATTTATTTTTTTAAATGACATTGGGATTTTGATGGGGATTGCATTAAATCTGTATACTGCTTTGGGTAATATGGCTATTTTAACTATGTTGATTATTCCAATCCCTGAACACAGAATATAAATATTTTTTTTTTCATTTTGATGTGTCTTTTTAAAATCTCTTTTAGTAAGGCTTTATAATTTTCAGTATCTAGGTCTTTTGCATTCTTTGTTAAGTTTATTCCTAGGCATTTTATTCTTTTGTTGCAATTGCAAAAGGAATTTTTTTTTTTCATTTCTTGTTCTGAGGTTTTGTTGTTAGTATACAGGAAGGCAATGGATTTTTGCACAATAATTTGTATTCTGCAACTTGACTGTATTTGTTTAGTTTTTTAAATAATTTTTATTGTTTAAAGTACTAAGTATGTCTCCTTTTCCCCGATTGACTTCCTCCAACCCGCCCCTGTCCCCTCACTCCCCACCCCATGCCTTCAGCACCCTATTGTCTGTGTCTATGGGTTATGCAAATGTGACTACAGGTCTTTTGTTGATTACCTTTCAACCACCCACCCTCCCTGGCCTTCCCTCTGAGATTCTGCACTCTGTTCCATGCTTCCATGTCTCTGGATCTATACTGTCCATCAGTTTATTTTGTTCATTAGATTCCACATATAAGTGCGATCATGTGATACTTGTCTTTCTCTGACTGACTTATTTCACTTAGCTGATACTCTCCAGGTCCCTCCATGCTGTATCAAAGGGTAAGAGATTCTTCTTTTTTACTGCTGCATAGTATTCCATGGTATAAATGTACCACGGCTTTCTTATCCACCCATCTACTGATGGGCACTTGGGGTGTTTCCCGACCTTAGCTATTGTAAATTGTGCTGCTATGAACATAGGGTGCCGGGGTCCAATCCCAGCGGGTCCAGGGGTCCCCAAAGGTGTGGACGGAGTCGGCGAAGAAGGAATGACACGAAGACAGCCTTCAGTTGATCAGCAGCCTAGTCAGGACCTCTAGCCAGGATCTCCAGCCAAAGTTCTGGTCGGAGTTCTGGTTAGGAACTGACGAGGATCTGATGTTTATTGTCTTGTTACATCCGTATTTATACCAGCCGATTTTAATCCTGTCAATTTCTATTACAAAGGTTAGGGCGTTTCTTATCTCCATTCCAGGGAGTAAAGATTATGTAGCTTAACTACCCGCCTGGCACTTAATTAAGGGGTTGTATCCCCTCCCTAACCTCAGGGAAAGATCCCCACCTGGGGAAACAACCTTTCTCGGAGAGGTGACCTTGGTTAAAACACATGGCGCTAAAGAGAGCAAACATATTAAGAACAATATGCTATATACGCCAGGTCCCTTGAAATATATGCTGTGCAGATGTTTCTTTCCTGCAGCGACTGTGTCAAGCAGCAAGGATGGACCGGCTCCCGGCAAATTCCCCCTTTTTTATTTTTTAAATGATAGCGCATGCAAATCAGTGGCCACCTCTCAGATTGGGCTGTTTAAGACTTGGAAGAAGACTGGCAAGCAATGACAATAAGCATAGCTATAAACATAGTGGATGAAGTGCACAAGGAGCCCCGTTCCTTAGGAGGTTGCCGGCCTCTTCAGTCAAGAGATTTCAGCTGTCCTCAAGTCGGTGGTTTGGTTGTCCTTATTGATTTGGCTAGCAGGTGGCATCATTGGCGACGGGCTTCCCAAAGCGTCAGCGAGTTGAAGGGCTGCATCAAAGGGTCCATCAGGGCTGTGCTTGATGGTGGTGTCGGTGTCCAAGGAGGAGTAAGCTGTGTCCTCTGGGTCAGCTGTTATGGATGGAGGGTAGTAGAGAGAAAAAGAAAAGAAAGCAAAAGAACTACAAGGCATGGAAGTGTTTAGAAAAAAGAGGAAGAAGAAAGGGAAGAAGGCAGCATCCTGCTCCAGCCCTTTCTTTCAGCTGCCCCTTTCCCTGTGGTCCAAGGTAGAAATGGGAAACAAGTCCTGTTGCAGTGAAAGGGAAGCTGCTGTCAGCCAGGTCTCTTATCTAGGTACTGATCTCAGCTGGACCAAGTCTCTTTCTGTTCCCGATCTGAGCTGGGCCAAGTCTCTATTCGTTATCTGGGTCCCTATCTGGGCTGGACATGGGAAGCGAGAAGCAGCCATGGGGGAAGGAAACCTTCCTCAGAAGGGGCGAGTGTTCAAGCCCCTGCACCATTGGGGGGGTGAGGATCTGTGCCCCACCTCTGTTGAACCCCAAGTTCTCTCCTATTGGCCCCTCTGTGACTGTGCCTGTCTTAGGTTGTTCCTCCCTGAGGAATCTTACCCGTCTTTGACTAACCAGCCAAGCTCCGGGGCCAAGCAGGGTGATGTGAGGTTCAGTTCTGTCTCCTTAGTAGTCTATGTCCCTCTGGCCTCCATGCCCAGCAACTGCCTTTGGATCCCCTCGCCTGCTGGCGGGGTCCCGGCATTGATCACATATCTTGGGGAACCCAGGTTTCTTCTCCAGAGAGAACCCAGCTCACTCCATTGGGCGAGAGACAGATCCATGGTACCAGCCACCGTGACCTCAGCATTAACAGAGAACTCAGGCAACAGCTGTGGGCAATTGGATTGTGAGAAGAGGGTCCCTCTTGACACAAGGGCAAGAGGGGCCAATATAGGACAAAGGAGAGTCCCGGGACAGGGCTTTCTCAGCCCAGGATGTCAGGCTCTTGGCACAAGACAACTCCACGTATGAGGCATATACCAGACACCCCTAGTCACGGCATAAAAGGGAGGTGCCCTTCCTGGAACAGTAGGGTAGGGAGATTCTAGAAAAGGCTGTGTTCAGGAGAGAAGGAGAAAGGCCAAAGAACCAGCAAACAAGTAGTTAGATTTTAAGAAAAAGGAAAAGGAAAGGAGATGTGGGGCAAAGCTGGGACATGTGGAAAGACAAAAAGGAGGCACATGTGATCCTCCCAATGACAGATTGTTCCAGCTCAGGGCTGCACATCTGCTGCAGATGGGCACTGGTCAGGTGTGCTAGGTTGAGGCGGAGATGGAGGGCGGTGAGACATAAGGTCGGACTAGACGGTCTGGAATCCACACAGGTGAGTCTGCGTCCTGTGGAAATATACAAGCATATCCTCTCCCCCGGGTTAAAAG